TGGCATCCTGGCTCAGACAAGGACGGGAATCCTGGGCCTCAGAGCAAGGACGGGCATCCTGGGACTGAGGCAGATTCAGTGGGGAAGAGGCCGTAGCTTTCATCAGAAGAGGGTTAGGAAGCACTGAGCCACAGCAAGTTGTTAAAAGTTGTTATCGCAGTCGGTCCCTGGTCATTAAAAGTGCAGATACAGGAGGTCCTGAATTCGTCCGTGCCCGACCAGCTGGAGATGAGCACCACATACTGTTTCTATATCTTCTAGAACGTTTTCTGTGCACAGCCAAATTACTGTGTTTAAAAGAGAGATGGAACAAGCGACTCAATTTATAACCTATTTTTTTTTTTTTTGAGACAGGAGTCTCACTTTGTCTTCCCAGGCCTAGAGTGAGTGGCCGTGGCGTCAGCCTCGCTCACAGCAACATCAAACTCCTGGCTCCGAGCGATCCTCCCTGCCTCAGCCTACCCCGAGTACCTGGGACTACAGGCATGCACCACCATGCCCGGCCTAATTTTTTTTTTTTTGTATATATATTTTAGTTGGTCAATTTATTTCTATTTTTGGTAGAGACGGGGTCTCGCTCAGGCTGGTTTCGAACTCCTGACCTTGAGCAATCTGCCCGCCTCGGCCTCCCAAAGTGCTAGGATTACAGGCGTGAGCCACCACGCCTGGCTATAACCTATTTTTGTATGTTACATTCTGTATATATTTTTCCATGTGAATAAGTACACATTTAAATTACACTTTTTAACAACTGTATCATATTCAATTTTTGAATGTTACCTTATTTTTAAAAGCCAGTCTCTCTTATTAAATATGTTGGTTGATTCCAGTTTATTTATTCATTTTTTTTTTGAGACAAGATCTTGCTCTGTTACGCAGGCAGATGTACAGAGATGTGATCACAGCTCACTGCAACCTCCAACTCCTGGGCTCAAGCCATCCTTTTTGCCTCAGCTTCCCAAGTAGCTAGGACTTTAGGTGCACACCACCATGCCCAGCTAACTTTAAATTTTTTTTTTTTAGTGACTGAGTCTTGGTTTGTTGCCCAGGCTGGTCTCGAAATCCTGGCCTCAAGTAATCCTCCCGCCTCACCCTTCCCGAGTGAGCCACTATGCCCAGCCGGAAACTAACATTATCATTAGTTATTGTAATGATAATAAATGAAGGGATCACCTAAATCTGTCATTATGATCAGAAAAACATTGCATAATTTATTGCCTCCTCTTAAGTAAAATGGCGGGCATGTTTAGCTTTCCCCTCCCACTTTGTAAAAGAAATGAAGGAAATGTGGGTGAGCAATCCGGATACCTGGGTATTAAATTACTGCGGTGTGACCTCCGAGCAGCCCGCCAGGTGCTGACAGCAGGGACTTCTCCGTCCGGGGCTCGGACCGCTGTAATTGGGCATTGTCTTTCCAGCAGTTTTTAGAGCCATCAATGAGCATCTTGTAGCAAGCATCGATCAATAGTTTTTAGCTTAATTGTTATGTTAATAAACAAATGCTACACTGACCTATTTATGAATTCTAGGAATTCTGGAAAGTAAACGGCTGGATCTTGTTAAAGAGAAAACCATCAACCAGACTATCGGCCACGTTGTTTACCACGCTGCCGACCTGCCCATATGGTGGCAGGTTCCGCAGTACGTGCTGATTGGGATCAGCGAGATATTCGCAAGTATAGCAGGTGAGGTTTCTTCAGCGCCAGAGGTGTCTGAGTAAGTCGTAAAATACTAGGTCCTTAAATACGAAATGCCCCATTTCGAATCAAAAGTGGGGTTGATTGTATCTCAAACAAGAAACAGTACAACTAATCAGAGTGTGCACCTAAGCTGTCCACACAGTTTTGCCATCTCAGTGGTAGCTTGTTTATGCCAGCAGAAAAGAGGAAGTTGGAGGGTGAGTGGCAATGAGGGCGAGAAAGGCGTTTTCCACAGCTTGCTGAGAATTGAATATTTTTTCTTGCAAGAGTGGTCCAAAGCCTGGAAGAAGTGGCAGGCAGTTGGTGCAAGGTCTGGGGAATACGGCGGATGACTGAGTTTCCAAGTCCAGCTGCTGTAGTTGGAGCAGTGTTGTTTTTTGTGACATGGTCTTGCAAGAGGATTGGCCTGTCTCTCTCGACCAATCTTGGCTGCTTAATCACAATCACCCTTATCAGTTCATCCAATCAGGTGCAGTAGACACCCACCGTCATCGACTGGCCAGGTTTCATGAAGCTGAACTGGATGACACCAGCACTGGATCACCTAACGGACACCATTAGATTTTTTTATGACTATTCGGTTTTGGACTGTGTTTTGGCGTTTCATCTTTATCCAACCATTATGCCAAACACTTGCAGTTGTCAAAAAGAATCCATTTTTCATCACATGTAACAATACAGTGTAGAAATGGTTCGCCTTCATGCTGTGACAGCAGAGAAAGGCAGGCTTCCAGAGGATATCCCTTCTGACACGCGTGTGATTCGTACGGATTCCACCTATCCAGCTTCTGACCTTGCCAGATCGTTTCAAATGGCCCAGTACTGTTGGAATAGTGATGTCAAACCTTGCTGCTAATTCACCCGCAGGTTGAGATGGATTTGCTTCCACTACATTTTCAGCTCATCGTAATCCACCTTGGTCTCAGGTTGCCCACGTTGCTCATTTTTAAGATGAAAATCACCAGAATGGAACTTCTCAAACCATTGGCGCAGTGCAAGTTCATTAGCCACGTCCTTCCCAAACGCTTCGCCGATATTTCGAGCTGTCTGCGCAGCATTGGTTCCAGAACGGGACTCATATTCGAAAATAACTTGGATTTTTGACTTACCCGTGGTTTCACAAAAATTGCTCTAGAAAAAATTTGAAAGATAATCACGAGCCAAAATGTGCTTTTGAAAGGCTGAGGATGTAGCTTCACAATAAAAATAAAACAAGAAGTGTCAAAGTGAAATGTCAGAGCTATCGACCCTGAAACTAAGTACTTAAGGAAATTGGATATTTCATGCTTAATAACATAAGAATAAGAGCTATGGTGTTTTTATTACGCTGTTAGAACACGTTGAGGCAGAAACAGCACAATGCTTTTGTAGTTTTTGCCAGAGACCTGTGGTTCAGAGTGTGAATTGGCAAGTAAATACGAAGGCTAAGGCTGAGGTTCCTCTTTGTTGGTATAAAAGCAGTATTCCCAAAAATACTTTCATGGAAACTCATTAACCAACTATAGGTGCCACAGGAGACGGGAGAAGGCAGGTCCCTGTCAGTGTCCCTGCCATGCCTGGCGCCTCCCGGCAAGGCCTCGGCGTTGGTGCCGCGCCAGCCAGGCCCGGGCACGCAGCTCTCAGGGATAGTGCTTTAGATTTGTGTAAAAAAGCAAATCTAATTTTTTTAAAACATATTTTTGCAGGCCTCTCCCCCTGCTAGTGAGATGGTTCAGTGGTGTGGCCTGTGCACTCGGCGGCCCCGAGTGGCTGCTGGGAGCGAGCGAGGGGAGGGGACTGAGGGATGAGGAGCAGAGGCTGCAGGGGCGAGTAGGGCGGGTGGCGGTTTCCGCCTCTCAGACCCCTCGTGCGGACTGGGCTCGTGGGCTTACGAAGGGAATAAATCAGAGCCGAGTGGCCTTTCCTTTAGAACACACTGCAGATCTCTCTGTCTAGTTGTTAGGAAAATCTGCATTTGTGGATGGACCTGCTTAAGTTGTTGTGAGACATATTACCTTTGAACTAGAATCCTCAGGTCGATTCCTGTTCTAGAGTTTGTACTTTGTCTTCAGATTCCCGTTATTTGAGAAGATAGGAACGTTTTGTTTCTTTAATCTCTCTTTTCCCATGAGCAACAAAAAACTTTAAGAGCTAACAAATCACATTTTACCTTGGAGTTTGAGAGCCAGGAGTTGACTTTCTGCTTTGCTGGGTGTTTTTAGGGGTGCTCACGGTAGGCAGGAGGACAGGCGGCTCGACCTCGAATGGGAGCCGTCTTCACGGCGGGGCAGGGTTGGCCCCGAGTGACCCTGTGCTTATCTGACTGCCGTGCCGGGGAGGAGCGTGGGTGCTGTGTGTCAGCCTGCTTCCTTCTCAGAAACGAGCCTCCCTCTTCTGTCCTAGGTCTGGAGTTTGCGTACTCGGCCGCCCCCAAGTCCATGCAGAGCGCCATCATGGGCCTGTTCTTCTTCTTCTCCGGCGTGGGCTCCTTCGTGGGCTCGGGCCTGCTGGCGCTGGTGTCGGCCAGGGCCATCGGGTGGATGAGCAGCCACACGGACTTCGGTAAGAGCCGGCCTGTCTCCTCTCTGGGGCAGCGGGTGATGGAGAGGTGGGCACTCACGCTGCCGTTGGGTGTTTGTGACCCCGAGCGAGTGGGGTGGCTTTTACACGGGTGGGCCTGTCCCCAGAGCTGAGTGTCCCCTGTTCCTCGCCCTGCGGTGACCCTCCCGTGGCTGGATTTACGTAGATCATTCACAGTCCCTCTGGGAAGCCCGGCGCCCGCCACACCCTGCCGGCCGCCGCCGCGCCCTCACCCTTTAGGGAGCGTCCCCGAGGGATGGCCGCCTTCTCGCCCGAGGGCCAGCGCCGCTGTCATGCGGACGACGCACCTGTGCCTGTCACAGGTTTCCCTTTGTTCAACTTGGTCTTATGTTTTCTTTCCCTTTAATTTTTTGAGGTTAAAAAAGCAGGGATAGATAACAAGTCACTTTTTACAATGCTCATTTTACGATTAATACCAGCAGGGCCTCTTGTCAGAGCCACTCGCAGGGGTCAGCGTTTCCTTCTCCAGATCGGTGACGGCTTTTAAATGGACGCAGGAGGCGAAGGCCTCTTTCTTTTCTCTCTCTCTCTCTTTTTTTAAGCCTGATCTATGGAAACAGCCTCACTACTTTTTCTCGTGTGGTCGGGCAGCACTGGCTCTGGTCTCGTCATACCTAGCCAGTTTTAGGTCACACATCCCCTTGAAAATCCGAGGAAAGTTTGGGGACTCGCAGAATTCCCCAGGCCCTTCCGCAACCGAGTTGAAATTCCTGTCTCCACGGCTGACTTTAGGCCCGTGGAGTCCCGGCGTTAGTTCCAGGACCCGAGCCACCACCGTCCCCGGACACCGGTCACCAGGGCCCCCGGCTGCGAAGCGTCTCCCTGGTGGGCCCAGCTGGTGGCTCTGAAGGGGTAGGCGGCTCCGGGGCCGCCGTCCGTTCTCGCCCCCCCCCCAGGATGGGCAGCTGTGGGATAAGGTGGGGTGACGAGGGGCGGGCTGAGGACTCTCCTGGGTCCCCGGGGCCACGACAGACCCCTCGTTACAAGGACCAGACTCTGTCGGTCTTAGGACGGAGGTTCTGCTTCTTTGCTTTTGTTTGATCTTTAAGTGTGTCATAAAGGATTGCTGGTTTCTGTCATTCTTGCCGTTCTGCGGTTATTTCACCCTCTCATCACTCACGTCACATCTGAAAGTTTGCTGCGGTCCCTCCCTCCTTTCTGGCAGGCTGTCTGCCAGCTCCCACTGTGACACATTGGCATTCCTTGTGCCGCCGTCCTTGAGACGGGGGCCTGCGGGGGTGTTCTTGAGCAGCCCCGGGGCCGTGCCCTCTGTCACACGGCTGAGCAGAGGTGCAGGCAGTTCTGCCGAGCAGACCCCAGCGTCCCGGGAGAGACGAAAGCTGTGATGCGGGAGATGCACAGATGGATGCCCACTCCTCGCCTCACTCGGGACACTGGCTGGCACAGGTGGCTGTTTTGGGGAGGGAATTACCCAAATTCTGCGGGGTAGCAGCTCTTGAGCCAGGTTCCTGCCCCCCCCCCATGGCTGGCCTTTGCTCTGGGCTCTGCTGGGGGCACCTGCCTCCTGCCCTAGCCTCGGGGCCGACACAGGACGTGGCTTCTGCAAAGTCACGGGGCTGTGCTTCGAAGGGAGATGCGCCCAGATTGTTCCTTTGTTTCCTTTCCCCATCCCCCAGCAGGCCTTGCCTTCACTGTTATTAACGTCCTTTAAATTGGGGGTGACATCCACGCCACAGTAGAGCGCTCTCGTCCTGCGTGCACGGCGGGGTGTGTGTGGCCGGGTCAGAGTGGGGACGGTTTAGAGCCGCTCTGTGTCTTCCCGAGGGACTCCCCACCCGGGTGACGCTGTTCTGCCTGCCCTGCCCTGTGCTCCCCTGGGGCGGCGTCTTTCGCTCGGCACTCGTGCCTGGGGGGCCCTTCCCCGCCATCCCCGCTGCTACTTCTGCATAGCGTTCGCCGGTGTGAGCGTTTCACCAGCTCATGTGTCCTGCTGTTGACATGGGGCTGTCCCGCGTGGCACTGCCATGGATGTTCCCGCACACGCAGCCGGTGGACGAACTCCAGTCCCTCGGGGCCAAGGGCTGCCCTAGACGTCACAGCCCCGGCTTCGCCGTCTTCCCGTGCAGTCGTCCTGCTGTCTGTGACCAGGCCAGGGAGGCAGGGCGGTGGCGCATTGCCGGACACCCTGCGAGGCGTGGGCCTGCGTCCCGCTCCCTGGCTCTCGGCGCCGCCTCATATCCTCGGGGGCACGCAGCGTGCAGCCCATTGGCCAGCTGGGCGCTTCGGAAGTTTCCCGTGGCTCTTTAATTTGAGGAGATTCCTTTATTAAAATGGGCACGTAAAACGTTACTGATATTTCTATGAGAACCTCGTCACGGCCACATCAGATGCTGAACCTGGAACAGCAGTGGCAGCAAACAGCAGGCTCCAGGAGCGCGGGCTCTGTGTCTGCACCAAGTGCCCCGGTCCCAGCCTCGCGGGGAGTAAGGGCCAAAGCGATACTTCAAATGCATGCAGAAAAACGAGGCTTTGGTAGAAATTACAGGTGTTAGCAGATCTCTTCCCAAATCAGTAGACATAGGAGATTATTGTCTTCTATAACATATATGAATGAGAATCCTTCAAAAAAATCTGAAGTCTTACTACGCAAACACGCATATCTGTTTATCATGTCTGATAAATGCGTCGTTAAACATCTGATAGTGATTACATGTTCAGATAGAAAAAGGAAGGAAGTTTCAGAATAACCCAACTTTAAAAAGATCTTCTGAGGGAAGGAAGTGTCGCTTTTTTTAAATAAAAAAATTAGTGCTTCTGAAGCGTGTCAGAAAGCGTAGCCACGTGCCTGCCAGAATACTCGCTTCCTCTCGCAACGCTGCGACTGGACGCGTCTGTCGAGCCATCTGGGGCAGGCCAGCGCTGCCTCCCCGCCGGTGGCGGGTGGCGTGACCGGTGCCACGTCAGCCGGCTGGCGGGGACGGGAGTCTCGGGCCACGGGGTGGCGGGGTCAGGCTTGGCAGGGACGCTCGGCTGGCTCTGGGTGTGTCTGGGCAGTCCAGACAGGCGAACGTCCTGCGTGTCCCCCCACAGGCACGCCCCTCCTGTGTCTCCACACCGAGCGGGGAGTGGGGGTGTGGCGGGTGCCCTCTGCCCCCGAGTGCAGTGGGGCCAGCTCACAGGCTGCCAGCCCCGCCCCCGTGTGCAGTGGGGCTGCCAGCCCCCACCTCTGTGCGCAGTGGGGCCGGTTCTCAGGCTGTTAGCCCCTGCCCCCATGTGCAGTGGGGCCGGCTCACAGGCTGCTAGCCCCTGCCTCCATGTGCAGTGGGTCCGGCTCACAGGCTGTTAGCCCCCGCCTCCATGTGCAGTGGGGCCGGCTCACAGGCTGCTAGCCCCCGCCTCCATGTGCAGTGGGGCTGCCAGCTGAGGTGCGGGCGGAAGCTCTCTCGGGTCCATGTACCGCCTGCACGCACCTGTGCCCTTATTTGTGGTGACGCTGGCGGTAGGCGAGAGCTTCCGCTCTGCAGGGGCGATGGCTCAGAGGTGCAGGCACTTGGATCTGAGCCTGGTCGTGGGGCCCACCGTCTGTTACCTTAACGCCTGCATGCTCAGCTTTCTCGGATGCTGGGAATTAAAGGGAAAAAACTGACGTTGTATTTTAAGCTGCCTCCGTGGTGCCTGGGCCAGAGTTGGAGTTCCGTGTGCGTGCGCTGTCCGCAGCAGGCCGTCCAGATGCGTGCGGGGCGTGTCAGTTTGAGGGTGCCCAAACCTGGAAGTGTTGAGGAAAAATTGAGAGAACAAACTCACGTTCCCCTGTGACACGTGGAATGTATCCTCGGCCCGTCTGCCCGGTACGCGGCGTGCATTTCCCTGCCGGTGGCGTAGCGAGCCCAGAGTTCGTGACGGTCGGGCTGGGTCCTGGCGCTCTCTGTGACGTTGGAGGGTCACAGACTCTTTCTTTTCAAGGATTGCAATTTGGTAAAAGCTCCAAAAAGCAAAGATTTGTGATGCTCCGTTGTTTGAATATTCTGATGAGAGATTTCCGTCTGATTGCGAACAGAACGCAGTCAGAATCTCAAGCTTTCACAAATAGTTCGCTACCACTGTGGGGTCAGGTGGGAGACCGGCAGGCTCTGCTGTCCCCGAGCCCGCGGCCCTCAGAGCCCAGTTCCGGGCCAGGCGTGACGGGCGGGGGTCCCCTTACACCAGGGAGGACAGGCGGGAGGAGGCGCACCCCACTGCCCCGCGCTGCTTGGTGACAAGAGCCCAGGGGGGTGATGTTTTCACTCCCCCTCCCCGTTTTCTGTTGGGAGGTCAACAGATCAGATCCGTGTTTTCCTTTCGCTGCCGGCTTACCCGGGTGGGTCCCGCCACGCACCCCGCACCCTCACGTTCCTCGGTCTCCACCTCACGCTTCTGCCAGCCGAGCGGGGACTGTCCTTAGTCTGGGGCCGCGACTGCAGTTGCTCAGGTCGCTGCGCTTCCTTCTCTAGCCGGCGCCTGGGCCGCCCGGTTCACCCACAGAGGGCCAAGCGGGAGCGAGGTCGGGGCGCGGGAGCGAGGTCGGGGCGCAGGAGCCCACACTGCAGGGCCTGCGGGGGACGCAGCCGCCCCAGGGGGCTTCTCTGCTGGTGTGGAAACAAAATGCTCCTGTAGTTTGAGTTGCGGAGATGCGGTGGTTTTCTTTTCTACTTTTTTTTTTAATGACCACAATGAAAAATCACCCTGACCTTAGTAGGACCCAAATGAAATAGTAAAATCTTTCAAACTCTCTAGAAGTGCGCTCACCTTCCTCCCCCGCCCGTGTCCTGCAGGGAACATCAACGGCTGCCATCTGAACTACTACTTCTTCCTCCTGGCCGCTGTGCAGGGCGCCACGCTCCTGCTCTTCCTCATCGTCTCTGTGAAGTACGACCGGGACCGCCAGCGGGCCAGAGCGAGTGGGGCGCCCGCCCTCGGGAGGGCCTGAGCCGGCGGCGCCCAGCGGACTGTGAGGAGCGCCGGGACGGGGGAGTCAGTCGCCCAGGCCCGGCTGTCCGGACGTGCACGTTGCCTGGGTGGTCTCCTCTCCCCGCCCGCGTGCTCGGTGAGTGCCTTCCGTGCTCAGCCCGGCACAGGGCCTCCCGGGGGAGAGACGCCGGCTTTGAGTGTCGCTTCTTGCCACCGAGGTCCTCTGAGCCCCGGGGCCGGGTCCCTCCTTGGCGGGCGCCACGGTGGGGGCTGCAGGGTCTCGGGAGGCCTCGTGGCGCATCCCAGTTGCGGAGACGACGTTGCTTCCTCCCTCAGCCACGGGCTCGGCTTTAAAAGACATCGGTAACGTCTGCTTATGTCGAAGGTTCTTTTTTTTTTTTTTCTTTTAAGAGATAAAAGTGTGGGCAGGTGCCTCGAGGACTTTATGTCAGGGTCGCGTGGTTTCCTTCCTGAGCCACACGTCTTGCCATTGCCGGGGTCTCTGGTGTAGGCTGGTACGAACGAACGTGTTTCATCTGCTGCTTCAAAAGATACTTGTTTTTCAAACCATTGACATTATTATTATTATTATCATCTTTTTTTTTTTTGAGAAAGAACAGGCGTAAGAATGACTGGAGAGCGTGTGTCCTGTCTCAGCCCACAGAGCGGCATGGAGGGGGTTTCAGACCTTCCCCAGTCAGTCCTTACACGCGACTTCATATTTTGGGTGCCATTGAGACTGGAGGCGGATCGCGGCTGGATGTGAGAGAACATCCTCTCGAACAGAACTGGTGTAATCAAAGACAATCCGCGGTGTTTGTTACACGTGAGCTCGAGCTGTCTGACTAGTCACCAGCCTTTGTGTTGTTGTTTTGCGTGTGCCTAGGGGCTCTGTGTCTGTGAAACTACTCTGTATTTGTGGCTGTATTTTTTGTGTAACTTTATTATAAAAAGCATCTCAAGTTTGAGACCCATGACCTGGTTCTTTGTGGGGTTCGCTCGGCGCCTGCGTGCGGGTGTGAGAGGCTCGAGTACCGCGGCACTGAAGGGACCGAGTGTCCCCAGTTGGGCACCGACGGAGGGTCGTGGTGAACCCGCTCCCGACAGCCCTCAGATCCTCCCGGGCGTTGGGACTCCTGAGCCTGCTCTGCAGTAAAATACGGCTTCATCGTTCGCAGAAGACAGAAAACAAACCAAAAACCGCTCACATTGTCTGTTCTGCAATATAAAGTATAGGAAAATTACAAAAAGAAAATACAAGGGGGTCTCGACCGGTGGAGTCAGGAGAGGGTGCAGACAGAGGGCTCTGCTTGTCCCCGGGACTCTCAGGGGCTGGAAGTGTGGGTTCGGATTAAAAAAAAAGTAAAAAGGGTTGAAGAGCACTGCCTCAGGAAGGAGCCGTCCTGCGGAGCTGCGGTTCACACAGCTCAGGGCACGGCTCGTGCGGAGACTCGCTAGTCCTGGTGTCAGAAGGTAGATTTTCTTTGTAAGGAATGTGCCGTGAGAGGAGAAAAGGGAGGCCACATCGTGACAGCCCCAGCCCCTCCCTGTGTGTCCCGCTGTTGACTGGGGGCGGGGGGCGGACCCCCCACGGCCGCCGCCTGCCGGTCTCACCAGCCCAGCGAGAGGCGCCCTCGAGGTGACACTCTCCGGAAAGTCCGGGAAGGATTGACAGAGTCATCAGGGAAGCAACCTGGGACGGAGAGACGTGACAAGAAACACTATGTGGTCTCTGCCGGTAGGCTCTCCCGGCACGGAGCTTGCACATGGGGGTGCTGGAGAGTCCCGCCCTCATATCTGCCCTTTGACCCCTGACCCCAGTTCCTGACACAGCTCCTCAGACCTTGTGACTCCCTGGGCGATGGGAGCATCTTTTGTGTTAGTGAGGCTGCCCGCTCCTGGGCTCCTGGTCAGCCCCCCTGCTGGTTGCCGAGGGAACCAGCCACGTGATGGGGGGGGGGACTCCCCGCCCTGGCCCGTGGGGCTGGTGGCCAGTGGTGTGTGACAGAGCCTCCGGACGGTGGTACGGCTGCCTGGTGCCCGGCGGCGGGGCTGTCGCAGGCAGGGCGGGCAGCTCCACGCCCCTCCCAGGCGCCTGGCCGGCCCTGTGCACGTGCCCATCTTTTTATATACACAGGTAAGTAGGAGCGAGACATTTCCCGGAGTCCCGCCAGTGAGCCACGCCTGCAGGTGAACCCGACGGGGCGCACGGGAGCCAGGAACGAGGGAGGGTCGGTCAGAGGGGCGCCGGCCTCCTGCTGTGACTTGTGTCCGCAGGGGGGGGGGTCGGTGAGACTGAGCCCCCAGCCCGTGGGCGTGGACACCTCTCCAGGCAGGTGACGTCAGAGCCGTATCTCAGGACGCCCGCCGGCATCTGCCGGAGGGTCACGTGGGGAACCGTCCCCACGTCCGGTGTTAGTGCTCTGAGCCAGAGGGGAGAGAAAACAATTTTTTCTCCAGACGACTTGTTAAATTTCCTGCTGAATTTAGATCCTGGGTGGTCCTGTTCACCCCATGGCACTCAACAGTGGTGTCAATAAATACAAAAAGCCCAGTACGCTCGTTTTCTTTGGAAAGCGAGGCTGCCCCGAGACTCCGATGTGCGCCGGAACCGGCTTCCGCTGGCGTCCTGGAGCGGGCCTGGGTGCACCCGCGGGAGGACGCTCGCCCGGTTTTCTGTTCTCCAGGCGGGCGGCACGGAGCTGCGTGTTTCCCCGCCGTGCCGCGGGCAGACGCGAAGGGGACGTTCTTAGCGAGCCCAAGCGTCACCGGGGGCCTGGCAAACTCCAGCCCGGTGGCGTCGGAGCGGGGCCGCCGCCCCTGCGTCTTGCTCCGAACTTGCCGAAAGGCTCCTGTCCCCCCGGGGTTCCCCGGCGCCTGTGGCCACCTCGCACCCAGGGCCTGAGCTGGCCTCTGTGGGGGCCTGGGGAGGGCCACAGGTCCCTCAGCTCAAAATATGTCACATCAGCTTCAAAACAGTCATTTCGCAATGACACGGGGCCAATCCCAAACCCCCGATGGATCACTTCCAAATTCTAGCTGATAAAAAAACAGGCGATTCCTCACTATTATCCCATTGTCCCACCCGTTGTGAAATTATTCCGTCACTTCCAAAGCAAAGCTCATTAAGGTAGACCACGGTGCTGTGGTAATTTGAGATCGCTGTGAACCACAGAGCGATTCACTGTTGTTAAGACGGGCCCAATACTTTATGGGGATTTTCAAGTGGAATGAAGTCATTTGAGTAAATATGTTAAGATGTTCATTTTAACACCTTGTTTCCTTTGGAAATGGGACCTTTCCAAGGGAATAACACCTAAGACGTGATTTGTTGGACGCGGAACATAAGAAATAAATGAAAAGTACAAAATGAAAAGGGAGGGGAGGAAAGCAAAGCCAAACAAAGCACAGCAGGCTGGGTGGACTTGCGACTTCCGGGGTGGAACGGCCAGCAGTCCCCGCAGGCCCGGCCAGATCTCAGGCCACTCTGACTAATGGCTAGCGGGCGGCTTGCCTGAGTCACCTCGGGGAGCCGGAACGTGCAGCTTCACTTCTGCGTGGGTCGTCTCGTCTCCTCGGGAAGGGGTGGGTGGACTCAGTCCGGGGGTGATCAGAGAAGCTTCTGGGTGGATTCATGCTCCAGCGTTTTCAATTTTAAACCCACACCAAGCCCAGGAGACCCAGAGGACTTGCTGCTTCCTGCTCTGCATGGCGTGGATATTGCAAAGACATCATCCACCAAACCATGGAGGTTGGCAGTCGCCGCCCGCCCACCATGGGAAACAGGACAGTCAGCGGAGGTCGTTCACTCATTCACTCGTATCATTCACTCACTCAGCAAATACCCCGTGGCCACCTGCGCAGGATACAGCAGCTCTCTTTAGACATGGGGGCCCAGCCATGAGCAAAACCAAGTGTCAGCTCCCCGCCCCGGGCTCACCTGTCAGTGACAGAGACAGCCAGCATGCGGGCAAGCAGGAACGTTTCGGGAAGGGGAAGGATCACAAAGAAAACAGTCTATGGAAGGGACACGATGACACCGTGCAGTTGTAGGAGGAAGGCGTCCGCCCGGGAGTGACTTGTCCAGGGAAGCCTGTCTGGGACAGGGGTGCCCGAGCATCACACGGGAGGACCAGGAGCCAGCGTGGGATACCGAGGGACAGGGTTTCCAGACAAAAGCCCCAAGTCGTGCGAAAGCTCTGTGTGCGCAAAGAGCAGAAGGACGGAGAGCCTGTGGGGTGGGCGCAGGTGGGCAGTGGGGGGGGCGGCGAGGTGGTGAGAGGCAGAGCAGGCTTCAGAGCACCCCCTTTTTACGGACAGCCCCACCTTTGCTCCAGCCCCGGCCTAAAGCCAGGTGTGGTCACCGGTGCCCGGCCGGCCTGCCCTCTAGTGGCCGAAACGGAGGACAACAGGCTATTTTCAAAAACCAGCACTGCGGAGTTTTTTTTTTCTTTTTTGGTAGACAAACCGTGTAGAAAAGGAAAACACTGTTAGATTCCACCAAAATGATTGTATAGAACCCGATCACTCAAGTCATTTTTCCAAAACCCTCTTAGGTCCACAGTCAACAGGATTACTGAGAACTAATATTTATTAGAACTGAAATGATTGAATTGCTATGTCTCTAGCTTCGTTCACACTGATGGTTTAGATCAGGGGCCCTCAAACTTTCTAAACAGGGGGCCAGTTAACCGTCCCTCAGACTGTTGGAGGGCCGGACTATAGTTTAAAAAAACTATGAGCAAATTCCTATGCACACTGCACATATCTGATTTTGAAGTAAAAAAACAAAGGGGCAAAAACACCCGCCGTGGCCTGAGGGCCATGGTTTGAGGACGCCTGGTTTGGAGTCGAACAGAGACTTGCAGATGTGCTTCTCGGACATGCCCGGGCCGCAGAGCCAGCCCTGCCGTGGCGTGGGAGCCGGGCTCTGGGAGGACGGACGGGCCTCGGTGCCTGGTCATGCTGGAAGGCGGCCCGGCGTGATCTCACTCAGGAGGGCGGCAGGGACGGGGAAGTGAAACCAGGGAGAAGAGAAAGCAGACGGCGGGGAAGTGACCGAGCTGGCAGCGACCGCAGGTGCCTGGCACCGCCCCCCGCGGGTGCTTTTCC